GACAAAATAAAGATTAATGTAGTAAGGAGACCAAAGATTCCTCCTATTATTTTTTTTGTTGTTGTTGTTGTTTCCCCCTTCTTCCTCCCTACCATGTACTTGCAAAGATATCTTCCCTGAAAACACTGTCCCTGGAGATGAAAATCTCTTTTGTTGCTGGCACCTGATCATCTTACCTACTCTTGTGGATCCGGATAACCACTGTGGGCTCCAAGACTTTATGCAGAAGTTAACATGATGCTTACCTTGTCCAAGTCCTGTTAGAGGAATGCTCTCCAGCTCACTCTTCTGCTGGATGGAGCTGAGTGTTGTGTTTGAATCCATTGGGGACTAGAGCTAATGTAGTATTTCTTGCACAGAGGACCTGCTATGCAAGTTGTGAAACTCTGGAGAAGTTAGTACTGATACAGGTAGAAGCCTGTCACTCAAGACAGGCTACAGTTTTACAACTCCAGCTACAAGTTCCTGTTGCTACATGATCTTAATCATTTAGGATGATCTTAAAAGTTATTTAGCTACATACTCTTCTTCCATTGTCCAGATTTCTAGACTGTTGGACAAGATACCATTGCTGATGTTAACATACATTATAATTCCTACTCCTGCAGTTTTTCTGATTTAGTCTAATGCCTCCCTAACCTGGCTATATAAAAATGATCCTTGCTCCAATTGGAAGCCTGCCATTAAATGGAGCACAGAATTGTGGGGGTGGTTATCTGCAAGCAAGCAATGAGCAGCTGTAGGAGCTTTGAGAACTGCTTACTTTGGCGGGACAGCCACTGAGATTCATTTGTTTGTGCCCATATCTGCTCAAGCATGTTGGAAAAGGGCAGTTTCCTAGGAGTTTATCTGGAGCGGAGGTGAAGAGTGATCCATAGCATGATGGTTAGACAATGCTGTCGCCCCTCTGAGTGAAGGTATGGCAGTATGTTGTTGAGCCAGTTAAGCTTTCACTTCCCTTCCAACTTGTTGGGCTACACAAAGAACTGTTTAAAAATAAACTTTCATGTATGTCATCAGCTGTATTGCTGTGATGGGGGTTACCAATGGGTGTGGTTAAAAAGCTGACCTGTGTAAATGAATAATACAGCTATTGACAACACCCTGCTTGGCTCTGTGTGAACTTCTCTGCTGTAGGGTGACATAGGATTTTACTGCAGGATAAGCCTCTGTTTATCTTCTGACCCTCAAACAATTTTGCACTGTGAAGATGGAAAAAAACCAAACCCAACAACAGTGTACATAATATGTAAATATGCTTTTTTTGAGCTTCATACCACAGGCTTCTTGCCACAGTCTCTATCAGGTTTATCATAATTATAAAGTAGGACAATTCAGAAACTAGTTATGACCCAAATTAATACTACTTCTGAAAATAAGTCAGGCTACATAAATTAAGGGTGGAAAAACTTACTTAGCATGAAACTTCATCTCAGGTGCTTTACTGTTAAAATTGGAAGCTATGTTCCTCTTTGCTTTTGAAAGCAGACTGAAACAGGTAAAAGTATGTGGCAGTAGCTTAAAACTTATCACTTTCAAGGTCTTTCTCTTCTCTGGTGGAATACTTGCTCAGAAGCAGTCTGTCAGGATTGAGTGTCATTTGCACAGAATCAGACTGTACTTGCTTTGTTTGTTTGTAACTTATTTCTCTCTCTTTTTCACGTTGTCTACCATTCAGTAGGCCTGAATTTTGCTAGCATTATGTCTTTATTGGATTGTGAAGAACTTGAGAGCAAAGCGACCTCCCTGAGCCTTCTCCCACTACAAAATGTGGCAGAATATTTATGACAAGCTTATCTTTAAGATCTGAAGTCTGTGGTAGCATGAAGTTTTGCTGTCTTCAGTATCTTACTGGAATGTTGTTCACTGACAGTTATTGATGACTTCATGACTCAGGATACTGCTTTGACTGGTTGGGTCAGGTTTTTGAGCTTCTTTGACTCAATCTCTTACGCTTCTTTGAAAGGATGTTATCAAGGCTTCTGAAAATGATTGACTGCTATAAAATCTTTCTGGTTAAAGAATTTTCAATGAAAAGGAGCATCGTCACTAACTTGATTATTTATAAGGATCTTATTGGTTGGACATTGTTTTGGCTTTTCAAGTATGAGTCATCTGTTGCACAAAGTACAAGAAGTGGCACCTTCTCTTTGTCACACTGGGACACTACTTGTTGAATTGCAGCTTCTAGTAAAATATGAATTTTCACATTGCTCAATCTACTTAAAGACTGTAGATTAATTTACAACAAATATTACAGTGAAATATTACTATTGTGTATTTGAATTTTTTTTCACAGATTGTAGTATTGTGCAAAATCACTTGCACAAACTCACCTGTCAGAGGTCCTGCTGAATTAATTTGGTCTTGTTCCAGTATTGAAGTGCTTATAGAAGAATAGTCTGGTTTGTTGCTTAGTAAGGTTAGTATAGGCCATATCCAGGTACACTAGTGCTTCAGCTTCTGTGCTTCTGAGAGTATGTATTGTAATGTAAACTTGTCAAACTGACTTGTTGTCAGTTGATGATTGGAATTCAGAGGAATTTTCTTTATATTACTTGTCTGAAATACATACTAAAAACAAGTAAGCATGACTTTCAGGATACGTTTTTCCTTTTAAGAGAACAGTGCAAAGACAAAACAATGTGGAGTAGTTCAAAATGCAGTTTAGTATGTTGAAAATGTACATGTAGCTTGGAGCTATTTTCATGTTCTTGTACTCCCTCTTGAGTAAAAAGAAAGCAAAGGTTCTTTTTAAGCCATGATGGTCAAAACAGAAACGATTTTTTGTTCTCCTCCATCTCCCTTTTTAAAAGACCTTGTAACATAATGTTAGTTATAGTTCTTTGCTACATCTGTATAATTACTCATGCTCATTTCACTTGGATACCCTTTCTGGGGAAAACAATTTAAGTGTCTTCATTTTCAACTGCATTTTCAGAATTCTTTGACAGCAGAATGGGTACTGTTACTGATGTGATCCAGAGAGTTTTTCACTCCAGTTATGCGTTAACCTTGGTAGGCAGTTAAGCACCATACAGCTGCTTGCTCACTTCCCTCCTGCCAGTGGGATGGGGCAGAGAATTAGAAGGGTAAAAGTGAGAAAATAGTGGGTTGAGATAATGACAATTTAATAAGTTAAAAAAAACCAACAACCAAACAACAAACCAACCAAGAAAAACAAGTTATAAAAATGAAATAAAATAATTACTTGCCGCTAGCTGGCCAATGCCCAGCCAGTCCCCTGAGCAACAACATCCCCGGCAAACTTCCCTGCCAGCTTTTATTGCTAAGCTATGGCATGGGACATCCCTTTGGTCAGCTGTCCCAGCCGTGTCCCTCCCATCTGCTTGCCCACCCCCAGCCTAGTTGCTAGCAGGGCAGCGTGAGAACCAGAAAAGGCCTTGACACTGTGTAAGCACTGTTCAGTAACAGCTAAAACATCTGTGTGTTATCATTACTGTTTTCATCACAAATCCAAAACATGGCACTGTATGAGCTATTTTGAAAAGAATTAACTCTATCCCAGCCAAAACCAATACACCCTTTTATTTTTTAATTCCAGGAAAGATTGGCTTAATCTCTAATGAAGCTTCAGTCAGCACACTTTTAACTGCCTCACTGCTAACAAAACCTTAGTGCATGTCCTCAGCTAATGATTTTGATATAAGTTTTAAGAAAATTGTCATGCTTCCCATTCTGACTGTTTAAGCTGCACACAAAGGTGATTCATTATGCAGGAGGATGTAATTTTAGTGTGAGATGGTCAAAGGATCATGATGGGTAAAGGTAATGAGGTAATGGTGTCTCGTTACTACACTGTTATTATCTGGTAGTTCTGTATATAACTAAACTCTGCTGCTGTGTGAACGTGCTCTTTTTGAGATTTCTAATTAACAAAATCTAAGTTACATTTGGTTCTTAGTTGCTACTATAGATGTCTCTTGTGTTTATATCTTCTGTAATGTGGATGTCCTGTTTTCTGGACATCAGAGGTTGTTTTGACCATAAATCTCTGGAGGAGGGTACATTCTGTCACTGTGTGGTGACTTTCCCATGTCTTAAGAACTGTGCAAGCAGACAGAATGTTCTGCCTTTGTGTAACACAAATACCGTTACATTACTGTTGGGATAGGTAGGGAGTGAAACGAAGGTGTAGGAAAATAGAGAGATCTGCTAAAACTCTAACACAATTTAAAACAAACAACACCATTAGCTTTTTTTTGTTACTTTTGACACGTATGCACATGCACATTATTAGCCTGTATGTGAATTAACTGTTACAGAAGCCATGGGTATTGGTGAGGTGCAGAGTTTTGTGTTTGAATAAGCAGCTGTGGGACTGAGGCAACTATTCCAAATACATGGAATAACTGCATTGGCAAACTAGGAAGGCAAGTTGAGTCTTTCTGCTCTGTTTAAAATAAATTATTCTTTCAGTTCCTGATTGACTTACTGAAACAGTATTTTTAGGTTTTAAGTGACATGTTTGCTTGCTTTTCTCTGAAGAAATACCCTAGCTAATCCTTGCTGCTGCTGTGTCTTGGTGCTTGCTATTTAAGCTGGAAATTCCTTCAAATGTCTGTTTTCTTTCCCTTGCAGCTGTCATATCTCATGTTTTCTTGTATGTTGTTGACTCACTGTGGCTTCCTTTTTCAATTCTTGCTTAGTAAACTAGCAAGAATTCTTGACAAATGCTGTGTCTCTAAAAGAAAACACTACATAACAAAATGTAAATCTTTTCCCTTAATTGTTCTTGGATGCTGTGAACTCACTTGTGCCCTTTCCAAATAGTGAAGGATTCCATTGCTCACGCTACAAAGAAGAGGAGCTTGGTATAATTTGTGGAATGGCTTCCAGTGAAAAAAGCAGATAATTTCAATTCTGCTATCTTTTGTGAAAGCTAAGTCCTTAGATATGTAGGGATTTGAAACAAAACCACTTAAACAGTGCACATGGAGAAAGAAAAGAAAACTAATGAAGCAATTTTTTTCTTCTAGATTTTTCCACTTTATACCTGTGAATTTTCTGCAATCCAAAGATGGCAGCAAATAAGCCTAAAGGACAGAATTCATTGGCTTTACACAAAGTCATCATGGTGGGAAGTGGTGGTGTAGGAAAATCTGCTTTAACACTACAGTTTATGTATGATGAGGTAAGAATCTGCACTAGTAGTTATCTCAGGAGATGTCTGTTGCATAGTGTTATTGAAGCATTCAGTAGTACAGTTACTTTATGAAAGGATCTAAATGTGTATGATGTGGTATGAAAGTAGCAATTAAATTGAGCAAAAATATTTTTTGAGAAATTTGGCATTTTTCACACTTCTAAGCAATTAGATGCTCTTTCATGTTATCAGTATATTTTCATTGTTCACTAGACCTATTAGAACTTAAGTGGTACAGCTCAAAGCTGCTTCACTTAGGTGAGTTGCATGATGCCTGAAATGACCAATTTTTTCCATGTTTTTTTATGCTGCTGTTCAAGAGGAAAGATCTGTTTCTTGTTTTCTTACTTGATTCCAGTGAAAGACATTCTTTTTCATTAAAAGGCAGAAGATACAGCTTCAGTGTTCTTTAAAAATTGATACTAAATATATTCAAAGTCATGATTGCCTGATAGCATAATGGAATGCAGCCAGATGTTGTGCTTGACCAGAAGCAGAGGCTTGGGTAGTGCACAGAGACTGATGCTTTGCAGCTACCTCTAAAATTTCCTTGTAATGGCTGAAGAAAGCGAAAACCTGTAAACTGTTTGGACTGATGGAGAGCCTGCTTTAACTATGAATCGCTCAAGTACTTCCCATAGCCTAAATACATATTCTTATTTATTAGTTACTGCAGCCATATAAGATGTTTGTTATATCCTTATATGCAAACAGAAACATTTGCCTTGTACAGGCATGCTATTATAGCATGACTTTTTTGATATTTTTTTTTTCTAGTTTGTTGAAGATTATGAACCCACCAAAGCAGACAGCTACAGGAAAAAGGTGGTTCTGGATGGGGAAGAAGTACAAATTGATATATTGGACACAGCAGGGCAGGAGGACTATGCTGCAATTAGAGACAACTATTTCCGAAGTGGAGAAGGCTTTCTTTGCGTCTTCTCTATTACAGAGCTGGAATCCTTTGCAGCAACCGCAGACTTCAGGTAAGTTACAACGCAAGATAATTATTCTAATTATAGTGACACAATTGCAAGGGGTTTTTTTGTTTGTTTTCTAATGTCCTTATGATAGTCCAGATTGGATGACAACTCTTACTGTAGTCACATAATGTTTTGAACGGATGCCTAGCCATGCCTTTGCTATCTGTACCACTTCAGATGTCTTCGCTGCTGTGTTTCTGAATACCAAAAAGGCTATTGCCACAGAGCAGATGCATAGCAATGTTCAGAAGGCCTCTGCCTTTTGTAAGTCAGTGTTGCTTGGCACTTGTGCTAAGTATTTGTGAGTAGGCATACTGCTATCCACAGTAATGAATCTGAGAAAAATTGCTTATAGACTGTATGGTTGCATGTAACGTATGTACAATACCGCATACTCCCCAGACTTGTCTTTTTTTAGCTCTTGCTTGATATAGAGGATTATGTTGTGTTTCTCTTAATCTGTGAAGCACCACCTGGAGTGAAAGGGCAGCAGTAGCATGTCCAGCTGTTTTATGCTAGACTACTTTATAGTTATAAAGATGATGTGACCAGATTCCAGTTGAAAGCAGTACAAAAAGAATCGTGTCTGGTGATGTCTGTCTGCAGAGTCTTAGGCAATGTGAAGTATGAACATTGTATTCTGGGAGAGTGAAATGCATAGTATCAACAACACAAATCTTTCTAGCTCTTAAAGATGATTTTATGAACAGGTGATGAGAAGTATCTTGGAATATTCTGTAGTAGCCATGCATTTTGTGTAAAGGCCTGCTGTAAATCTGTCTCTTCAGTGTTGCTTGAGTGGAATTTTTCTCCGTGGAACATGCTGATACAAATTTTTGATTTTACAAGACAAAAGTTTGGCACAGAGTTCTGTATAACATTCACCCTTCCCATTAAAGTCAGTATTTTACTTAATAGGGAGCAACATAGTAAAAACAAAATTTGGAACTGGATCTTTCTGATTTAATAAAGATATAACAAGATAGGGTTTTTTTAAGGTACTTCTCAGGCATCCAGCATATTAAAACCCTAATAATGGTAAGAGACTATTAAATAGGCAGCAGTATATTACAGGTGTTTAATTTTGGCTGAGAGAGGAAGCCTATTTAAATCACTCATTGCTATATTTAAAAAAAGGGCAGAAGAGACCAGAAAAAAAAATTTACCAGTTCAAAGTGTAGTGAAATAGGAGACAAGATAACCTTTGAGATAAAAGGAAACAAATATAAAAGAAATTATCTGCATCCCACTGAAATAAGGCTTTTCAGAGATGCTGTTGCAGTTCAATTTAATTAGCACTAAGTATCAGAATATGTTTCATATAATTTCTAAGGGAGGAGAAAGAGGTATGGAGGGGGGAAAAGTGAGTTTTTCCTCTTCTGTTTTTTTTTTTTTTATTTGTCTATGTATATATGTGTGTTCATATATTTTGAGAGAGAGGGAGGGAAGGGCAGAGCGTGAGTGGTTTGCGGGTTTATGCTGGGTATTGTCAATCCTGGAGGACTATTTAGTATAGTTGAGCTCCTCTACTGTGCAAAGTGACCTATGCAAATTTGTTTAAAATCCTGTTAATGCTTCAAAGTACATGATCTTCTGTGGCTCTAGAAAAAGTCATCCTTTTCCAGCAAAGGTGAGAGTTGACAACATACATGCTGAAACAGCAAAAATGAAAGATATACATCCCTTCCATGAAGAGATTGAAACTCTTCCCAGTCTGACTCTGAAAGTCCCTTTCAAGTTGCTCTTGAAACTGTAGAAGCTGAAATGCTAAAATGTAACTCAAAAAATTTACATTCTTTCTGCTCTGTGTAAAAGTAAGCTGTATGTCTTGAAGGTACAATTAAAATACTTTTGGCATTGTTGAGCATGCTGAGGGAATACTACTTAAGGGACAGATATGAAAGAAAGTGTCAAGAAGAATTTGAATGTCGAGAAGAATTTGGATGTTTGATTGTTTCCATGGAATTTTGCTCTGCTGGAATGGCAGAAGTCCAACAGCAGAGCTGTTTACTGCTATTCAATGTCTTCAATGAGGTTCCTGGTGTGCTCTGAAATGCTATTGCTCCAAGTAATTTCTTTTTTTCAATAGAAAGCAGACCTGCAATTACTAAACTTTTAAATATTTGAAAAGCATTTTGATAAAATGTGGTCTTGCTTTGAGTAGAATTAGTCTGACTAATGATTTATTTTTAAGTTCTGGATTTCAAGCTGGCATATCATTAATTAGCTATTTCTTGTTTATGAGATATCAGTCTTCAGAGAGGGATCAAAGAAGACTATTGTCATCTGTATTACTGTTAGATTAACTCTTTTACAGTGAAATTGTTTGGCATTGCCTGAACAATTAGTGTTGGAAGCTACTAGTTTTTAACAGAAGTCTTATTTGCACAGATAGTGCAGGATGTACCAAGTTTTCTTCTGGCCACCCTTCCTAATCCACTGACTATTCAAACTGCTTTTGGATAGCCGCAGGCCCTGTTAAAACATTTGCACTGATACTTGGGGGGAGAGGAGGAATTACACCTCAGAGATGAATGTGGTGTTACAAGCTGCCTCATATATGTGTATGTTGGTTTAAAAAAAAGAAATCTGGACGAACTGCAGTTTAAGCCCTGTTGAGTACACTTCCTCAACAAGACTGCGTGCTATCCAGAGCTTTTCATAACAGCAGGAGGATCCTGCCATACACCAAATAAATGCCCTTCAGAATATCAATTAATGAATTCGTTTAGCTTTTCTCCATTCAACTTTAAATCTGGCAATAGGTTTCACCTCAGCCAGCAAAAGGAATTTGTTTCTTTGTGCTTTTTGTCAGTCTTTCAGGAATTGCTCCATGATAAAGGGCTATATTTCATTACTAACTTCGTACTGCTTTCTGAGACAAAATAGAGAATACCTCTTTTCTGGGAAAACTGTTCCTCGTGGTACTTTTAATGCATTTCTAATTAGAAGAAAATTGTTTTTTATTTTTTTTGGTGTTGAAGACTTATGTACCAAACCATTTGTAGTACTGAGTTGTATTTACAACTTTAAACCCTTCTTCCTAGCGATTCAAACATTAGAATGGTCTGTCTTTAAAAATCTGGTGCGTATACAACTTGTATGTGTATACTGGCTTGTAACTGAATTAAGATCTCTGCAGAGACTGAATATAATTGACTTCAGAAAGATTTCTAAAAGGAAGAGATTTTTCTCTTGGTATGCTGTAGACCATTTTATCAGCTTTAAAAATGGCACATACATTTTATTAGGAGAAAAACAAGTGTAAAACTGAAGTTTGGGTAGCTTAAAAATGACAATCACAAATAGTAATGTAAAGACAATGGTGAATGCTCTCAAGTAACACCTTTAGTAAAAGGAATGACTTATTGATACAAATCCTCACCTAAAACACTCCTGTTCTACTCTTTTAGTTTCTTGCTGACTCACCTCCTTCCTTCCTGGAGGACTAGTTGTCTGCCTTTGTCTTCATTCTGTAGAATGTCATAATGAGGTTTAAAATTTTACTGTTACGTAAGCTTCATAAAAGGAATAAGTGGCTTTTCACCATAAGATGGAAGAGTATTTAGTCCGAGTTCTTTTTTTTGTGTTCTAAGAATAGTAGTCTGTGCAAAGCTTAATTTTCTTTTCCTTTTTTTTTTTTTTTCTCTCCAGGGAGCAGATCTTAAGAGTAAAAGAAGATGAGAATGTTCCTTTTTTGCTAGTTGGTAACAAATCAGATTTGGAAGATAAAAGGCAAGTTTCTGTAGAGGAAGCAAAAAACAGAGCTGATCAGTGGAATGTTAATTATGTGGAAACTTCTGCAAAAACACGAGCTAATGTTGACAAGGTAATAACTGGCCTCCTGATACAAAGAATCTCTCCATCAGTTTTTACTTTATACCTCTCTTCTGTGGGTCATACTCTGTATGTTCATTATTTTACCAATTATTTTTGTGAAATTTGAATCAAATACTTTTCTCCCTTAGCTTACGAGGAGCGCATGACTAGACGACTTCATGTAGAACAGTGAAAATGTTAGGCGTAACAAGTTTATCCCATCCTAAACTGTAAGGAGTCATTATACAAGACATTATACAAGACCTTATTTCATTAAAAATTTCTTGAGGCAGCTATTTTGGCCTAGACTTCTTACTGCGTTTTCTATAACTAGAAGACAGTCTGCTTCTGAACAGTGAGGAACGCTGTCTGATCCTCAGCCAGAATCAAACAGCCTACAAAAGTAGGTAAAGGAGGGATTGGAGCCCTCTTTACCCTCATCTAACCAGATGCCTGGTTGTATGTTGCTTTGATGAAGAATGGTTGAACCCTTTTAAGCTTTCAACAGCCTAGAAGTGCCTCATGAGTTTTCAGAGATGAAACCTGGTTCAGAAGGTCATGAGATAAGAGACAGAAAACGCTTGTCTCCAATAAGATAAATTATTGATTAGTTCTAAGTATTTCAGCTATAACTTTTAAAGACAGGACTTCTTGGAATACAGAATTCAGAATAACTCTCAGCCTTGTAGACTGCAAGAGTAACAGATATGTGGCAAAAGAAATAAGTAGTTCAATTTGCCAGCCTTTCCTTTTAGACCTATTAACAGAGTTGATCACGCATTGAAAAATTCTCTAATGTAAATCCTTATGTATGAGCTGTCAATTGCAGCATGACAGCTGTAGTGAGTTCTGTTTTGCGGTAACTTAAACTTGACTGTTGTCTCCTGTCAGTTGTCTTCCTGAAGAAACTGATTGTTCACTACTACAGTAAGAACTTTATGCTGTTGTGTAGAGAAAATTAAGTCAATTAAATGCATCAAACTTAGTCTCATTGTTGAATACAGCTTTGATTTTTTTTTTTCTCCCATTATTATAAAAACTAGTACATTTTTTAGTTTTGGCGCATGATTGCAGTTAACATCTATTTATTACTGTCATGTTTTCAGCACTTCAAAATCTACTTCACCATCCTTTAGCAGCTGGGAAAAAAAATGTGTGTATATATATTTTAATAGCTCTCTAAGGCAATAGAGTCACTCTGTTAAGTCATTGGTGTTATCTCCACCTTTGTCATTTTTCTTTCCTACTAAACCACTTGATGAAAATGAAGTTCATGTGTACTTCGAGATTGTAATATGGCATTTGAAATTACCTGATCTAAAAAAAAGGTTTATGTAGTTGTATGATTGGTAACTTTGCTTTAAAGGAAATGCTGATTTTTCCCACACAAACTTTGTCTTTAGACTTGCATCATGGGACACAATGACCACGAAATGTTCAGTGTATGCTACTGCTCCATTAATACGTTTCTAGAATTGGATGTTGCGCTTTTTCAGTCTTTACAGCCTATCACTGAAAATACTCAAAATATAACCTGATTTCCTTGAGTCTCCTCAGTAAGATGTAGATAATACATTCAAAAAATCTTGGCCAGTGATGAGACTCTTGTTGTAATACTTGTGGAAAATTGTCTGACAGGATTCATAAGCAAATAGCGGAAGACAGAGGAACATTATGGTACCATGAAAGACACAGGATTGCATCATATCAACTTAGCCTTCAAAACCAGTGAAAATTTGTTGATTGTTTCTTCGCTCAAACTGGTTGCATGTAATTGACTTTATTCTAGCCAACTGAAACGGATATCAGTGAAAGCTTACATTGACTCACATGTATGTGACTGTTTTTGCATTTACGTTATTACATCTTTTTTTTTTTTAGGTGTTTTTTGATTTAATGAGAGAAATTAGAGCCAGAAAAATGGAAGACAGCAAAGAAAAGAATGGGAAGAAGAAAAGAAAAAGCCTAGCTAAGAGGATCAGAGAAAGATGTTGCATTTTATAATCAAAACCCTGAATTCCTTTCCTACCCTGACCATACTAATAAAAACCATAATTTATAAGCATGCCATTGAAGGCTTAAGTGACTGAAATTACTCTAACATGTTGGAAATAGTAATGTACCACTAAAAGCATGAATTGGAGCTGCACTGAAAGTCAAATTCACTGAGAAAAAAAAAAAGTGGCTTCAAGAGAAGCAAAGTTGAGTCCATTTCATAATTGCCTACCTTCTCACATTTCTTCTGAATGTAGTGTTTCATAGGCGGTCTTTTCTTTAATAGTAAACAGAGAGGGGAAGTATTACTTTGGGTTCTTGTAAAGCATACTTTTTTATCACTGGTAATTGTCAATTCATCTTGTCTTTTGTTGCCTTGAAAATTACAATTGTGAACATGATACCTAACAAAGCGGTATGCAGTTGTTTTGCCATGGAGTTATGCAAATTGGAATAGAATAATGTATATGCGAACAGATATGTTGGGGAAAATTATATGTGGTTCTGCATTACCTGATTAACCTAGAAGAGTGATGTAATCTTTTACATTGAAACATTTGAATATGCCTTAATTTTAAAAACTAAACATAACAGGTTGCTTAATCAAGGGTGTATTTTCAACTTTGTTGCATGGAGACTGTCCCTGCGCATCAGTGTGAGACTGCCCTCTCTGTGGAGTGCAGTTATGTGAATGATTTAGCTAACTAGCTGTCTGCTAGCAGTGTCTGTTTAAATGTGTGCCATACTCTGGTATTGTGAATAATACAGAGCATATTCTGTCATCTGTAACTTGGTAAACAATACGGTATCTGAAAACAAAAAAGGTCAGAATACATATAAGACTGAAATCATAAGCCTATGGCACATCTAAGCCTGGAATGGCTGTTTAAATGTGCTGATACCTTGAAACTTCCCTTTTGCAAGTAGATTTTTGTCTAGATGTTCCGTGGGTTTTAACTCCCTGGAGTTGGGTGGAGTGGAGCTGATTCAGTAGTGCTAATGTGTTTTGAGTTAAGATGTTGTCTAGGAAATTCTGGTGTCATCAGTTAATTTCTTTTGTGTTCCTAATACTCAGCTACGGGAACATGGTGTGTTATGCTGAAGCTCTTTGCAGGTTTTGTACTGTTTAGTCTAGTTTATGTTGATTTTTCAAATGGGGAACATTGTAGCTACTTTTTCTAGTTAATGTTGATATTAAACAATCAAACATGCTTTACAATACAGAAACATTTACCATGTGCATCCAAACTCCCCAAACAAAACATACTGCCTCAGTTGCTTCAGAACAGCAAGAATACTAGCACATGGTTAGTATGCTGCATCTTAACTAAAAATATACCAGAATGTTTGAGGGTTTTGGACTCCTCTGGGGTAAGACAGGCTAGATCAATTCCACAAACTGTTATACTTTTTATACATGTGTAAGCCTATAACTGACAGTTTAAAATGTGCTCAAGCAAACTAGGTAACAAATATTTAACTTTCATGCTAACAGACATTTTAGGGACTCAAGTCTTAGAAGTTATATTTGTCATGTTAAATATTTATCAATAGGAATTTTGTATGTGCATTTAGTAGACTGCCAAGTGCAGAATTAAAGTTACTCATGTAACTATGGCAAATAAGCCAGTCTTCATCTTACTGTGTACTTATTTGGGTCTATTTAGCCAGGGAGTCTAACCACTAACATTGTGACTTTGCTTTGGAACCTGTATACTGGGAACTGAGGTGTTATGAAGCCACTGGACACATGAAACTTGTCTTGGCTGATGCCTTATCCTGTCCTTCTATTTGCTATTTGAGCCATTGAAAGATGAATAAACTTCCATTTTTTTTTAAATACTTGTGCAGTGTTAATTGATAACTGTATTATTGTTAAACTTTGCTATAGCTGATGCCAAGTGTCAATTAGTTAAACCTAAATAACCCAGAAGCCTTTTTCGTGTGTGTGTGAATAAAATTGTAGATTAAACCTATTTAGTTGATAAAAAGGCACTTTGTAAAAACTGAGTCTAAGCATGTGCTACCTTTTATCCAGACCTAATTTATCCATAATTGCTGTAACAAAGGATATCAGAAAACAGGCAAACAAACTGAGGTAAGCTTGTTCCAGAAGTACTTTTCCATAAAACAGAAAGTGAGATTTTTTTTTTTTAAAAAAGTACACCAAAACACACAAAAACCAAACAACCTTTTAAGTTTTTAATAATAATAAAATAAAAATGCATTCTAAGTAATTTTCTTTTAGCAGTCTCGGGGAGAACATAAGTGTGCTTCCACAGCCTGCAGGGGAATATAGCTTGAATTGTGCGTTATAGGATTTGGGTACATCTTGAGAGTCATCCAAATTGAGCGATACATTTGCATCACAGAGGAGTGTTTGGTTTAGCTAACTTCTGTGTCTGAAATTCCTAGATCTATCTGCTCAGAGTGCTTCTGTGCCTGACAGCACTTTTCCTCACCCGTTTCTCCTCGGAGAAGTTGAAGATACTATTTTACACTGGCAGGATCAAAGCCTTCCATGGTATTTCCCTCCCAGTTAGCCTAACATGTTGGCAGTCTTGTTGCTACCTTTTGTGAAATGCATTGCATTGTGAAACTGCAGACCAGAGAGAGATGCCTTAATTTGTAACAAGCTACAAAGTTGAGTCTTCCATTATGTAGGAAACTAATACCCAATTCTTATGCTAACTCCATTTTTTTTTCTATAGCTTTTTGTAGCTTTAAAAACTAAAGTGACTTTCAAAATTGTTGGCCAAAAAATCTGTGGCCTATTTGGTAGTTTCTGTAGCCTCCTGATGAGCGTACAGTAGCTTAACGCAGCAGCTTTCTTTGACTATTCTGAAGCAACATCACGGTGTGCAGGAAGTGCTTCCCCGTTCATAGAGACCTTGTTAGCATCAGAGTACCATGCAGAATGACTCCCCTGGCAATTCCAGCGCAATCATAATGCGGTAAACTACACTCCATATCTGAGCCTTATGCTTACTATCTTCATCTGCAGGAGCTAAATATTTTATCTATTAATATGTGAAATGGGCTTACTGAAAAGCTTGCGTGCCTTTTTGGGACACCAAGCATTGCAATGATTCTCTGGTTCCAGAGTCTGAGAAGGTAGATAGTCTCTACGTGATTATAGTCCAATGCAAAATGCAGAGGAGCAGGGACACAGCTGGTATTACGTGAATGCATATAATACATTTAGCTGTACCACAGCTGGATCAGAAGGTAGGATTGAGCCTACAACAATTGAGAATTGAATAAGGAAAGCACACCTTAATTTCTGAGCTTTCTCCCATTACTGTCAGATGTGTTGGTTCTAGCCACGTGGAATTATAGGCATGTGCATAAACTGTATTTCTTCCAGCCTTGCTCTTGCCAATTTTTAGCTGTGATTTTAACTTAAATGACTGGGTATGTTTTTAAGAGATGACTCAGGAAAGAAACCTCTCCTTGCATATTTTTGTGGGAGCTTCAGCTTGTTACTAAAATTGAATGTTAGGAAAGGTGCCAATGTTGCTTATACTGTGGAGCGTAAGCTAATCTTTGCTCTAAATGCATTGACCAGACTGGAATATTTTTGGTTGAAGCTTCATTGTCAGAAATGTTGAAATGTATACCACTTGAGATCAGTCCAGGATCAGGCAGATGCTAAGACTCTTCTTGTTTTCCAAGAGATCCTGGGTGGATCTAACCAGCTGTCTAACTGGTACAATCCATTTTGGGAAAATATCAGAAGATATAATTTGGTTTGTGTGTGCTGAGGTCTTTTTTTTTTTTTTCCCTACCTTTTTTTCTTCCATGCAAAATGGAAAAATACCAAAGCTTAAGTTGTTGGACAAATTGATTTGTCTCCACCATCCTCTTGATTTATATTGCACTCAGTAATATTTAACACTCCCAGAGCACTTAATATGTGATACCCACTGTTTGTGGATCTCAGTGGGACAGTTCCAGTTTTGCAGAAGACTTTTCTGTCTTAAGCATGCACACAACAGCAGCAGAATTTAGCCAACTGACTCAGTGGGCCAGTAACAGTATTAGCTTAGCACTCCTATTTTACTCTGATGCCTCATTCCATCTCGCGCAAGGCAATTACCGACCTCCTTTACTGATCTGGTAAGACGGTGTATGAAACTGTGCGTGTACCATGAAGCAGTCAAGATGGGAGTATCTGAAAACCTGAGTGATGAGGTTTCAAACCATGGCATCTGATTACGCTTTTCAACTTTCACAAGGGCAACCCCTACCAACGGACTCTATGTTGAAGTGTTAAAAACAGGTCCTGTCTGCACCCCAATAGCATGAAAACACATGACTTTGAAAGTGGGTAACTGTGTTACGCAGTTCTTTATGCTGTTCTGCTCCTGCTTTCCACAATTGCTTCAGGCTGTTGGCTACCACTCTCCTATGCAAAGCAAAGTTGGGTCTTTTACTATGATCCTGCATTTTTCTATTTGCTGGACATTGCTGGTTTAGTTGTTGCCATCAAGCAGCTGTGTACCTGTGCCTGTCTATGGGCTCCTGTATATGTGGACATAATTCCTGCAAGTAAAACAGAGATAACTTCTGGAACAATTTACACTTGTAAGGGATTGTGAAAGCCCCTGGGAGTTGAATAACGTAATACAAATCTAAGAGAAGAATGAAAGAAGTGGTGTCAGTGGCATCTCAGACCCTTAACGGTGAACTGTAGTTCTGCAGCAATAGTGCTTGTTTCAGTCTGTGCTCCGCTTCATGTAACACTGTCCTACAATATTCAGGAGAACATTCTGGGGGTTTGCCTATTTTCTGCTTTATTAATGTGAGGTGGTGTTGCAAAATAAGGAATGAGGGGGAAGGATAGTTTCCAACCTAAAACTACGTGCTAAATGTAAGCAGGCTCCAGAATGCTCTTGAAAATGTCAAAATACTGGGAAATATTTCATCACTCTGTTGTTTCCTTTGTGCTTAGCTAAACAGAGGCAAGGAGGAGGATACATATTTAATAACATTTCACTAAAGTTCTTTCTATGGGAACCACTTTGGAAATTTTCTTGGGAACAAAAAAACCCCAAGCCGGTAGCAGAT